AATGCCATTTACAGCTTTCAGCAACACATATAAGCCAGTAGCTACAAAAGAAATACAATATTTCACAAATTTATGAAAAAACTACAATTAACTATAAACTGACTACAATTTAACTACAATTTATAAAACCCACCTATCTTCAATCATACACTGATTTTGCTGATATATTATCTACAAATAACTACATACCTTCTATGACTAGATCTTTTTACTCTGAACTGGAACTTGTGCATCACTGAATAATTCTTCATTGCAGCAGCTACTATTTGCTTGTCCTGATAAACTTGTCCTTCTTCAATATATGTTTGCGTAGATTCAGTTATTATTTCACTTTGATATTCCTCTATAGCTGGTGAGGATGGAAATTCAAGTAAGTTTAGGGATCCAGATGAACCTGCAATCAATAAATTCATAAATGTAGTTTCTATGTAGATAATTTTGAAAGCAACATTGCTTTATCCTTTTCAGTACTATGTGAGCTTTGTAGTTTAATTGTAGGTAATTGTAGTAATATTGTAGATAACATAGTAACACCATAACTCTCTGCAATGTCGAATCAAACATACCTGCACTGGTGCTTTCATTGTTGATTGCCAATTCCATATTGAAATCTCTTACGCTTATACATAAAGGATACGAACCTAAGTTTTTATTCTCCTTTTTGGTTTCCATGTAAGCACGAACCCCCATATCATTCCTAATCTCCATTGGAGGACAATTCTCGTTCACAATGTATTTGATTTCTATAATTTTATCCGATGTATCAATCGATAATTGTTCTGCAATTGTAGAACTGAGAATTCCGTAGCTTGCATTATCATCTACCACAATGGCATCAACTTCAAAATCTCTAAATCTGCCATAGTTATCCCAATTACCATTCGATTTCAGCATTATTGGGATTTTTGACATGATTTCATGTAGTTGATAGGAAAAAAGACGAAGAACAGATATAGTTTCTACAATTTGAGTACTGATATCGACGAAGAGCAATTTTGTACAATTTGAGACGAAGAACAGATATAGTCTCTCTTCAGTAATTGTACAATTTGATTGCGTTTTTTGTTGTAGCTGATATCAACAGAGATCTCTTTCTGTTGAGGAAGGAGAGAATTACGCAACTGGTGCCTTCATCAGATCTGGTGCCTTCATCAGGAAGAGAGATCTCCTTCAGTTTCAAAATTCGAATAAAATCCTTGACAGAATCACATCAGATCTGGTGCCTTCATTTTAGGGCTTTTTTAATGGCAAAATCTACCTATTTTTGGATTGGTATATAATTTGTAGTAAAAGTGTGGACTACATGGGTAAATAACAAATTATGAACATTTTTGGTAATAAGGTTTGATATATGGTATAGATAGGTAAAAATCCTATACTATACACTATATGAACCTTATTACCAAAATTATCTCAATTTTGAATATTATCTGTCCTAAATAAGATTTACTTATAATTTATATACAATTTATTATTAGTGCCTTAAATTAGGGGATTAAGTTACTCTTTCGCTTTTTTCTGCCGCCTCTCTCCATATATTATCCATTATTAGTGCCTTAAATTAGAGGTTTTAGTTACACTCTTTTTTTTCTTAATCTTTTCTCATGTTCCCTTTATTTAATTTCACGCATCTAGCACAAATCTATATCTATATATATCTATATCTATATCTATATTTTATATTTATATTAAAAGCACGAAGACCTTTAGCGAAATGTCGTTCGCCTTTTTTACCCTTAAAATTTTGATCTTATATTAGACAAGATCGTCATTTAAATTATCTCCTAATATTTAGAAGTTTTAAATCAACTAAAATTTTACTTATTAAAGTTTTCCTTATTTAAACCGTTACATATAAGTCTAAAATTTAGGACATTAAATCAATTAAAATTTGACCTTGTATAGATCAAACAATTCATTTATAATAATTTGTTTCTAATTTTTTAGACCTACAAATTAGGAACGTGCATTTGTAAATTTGATAAAGCATGTTAAGATTCCATTTAATGTACAGTTTTCTTCCAAATTAAATATTTAAACTTTTCAATCTACATCAAATTTATATAATTGTTTTCTTAAAAAAATACTATACCGTTAAAGTTTATTCCATATCTTGACTATCTATAACTTTAATCCATTATATAGATTTGGGCGAGAAGTGAATGAATAAATAAAGCAAATTAAAGACTAATGTCTCCCTTGTTGACTGTTTTGAGAGGCAACCAAGTTAAGAATTAAATAAATTAGAAAACAACATTTACTCTTAGAGGAATAATTCACAATTACATATTATATTTTACCATCGTGTACTTCTACTAAGCTATTAATAATTTGACAAACAATTCAATACGATGATTCATTACCAAAAGAACATTAATGAATATTCATAAATTTTTACTCACTAATACTAACTAACAAATATTAACTTCCATTAACCATAAATAAAAAAAAATTATTGTCAAACGAAATAACATAAAAATAAAATTTGAAGAAAAATATAAATAATCAAAACCTAACAAAAACTTGAACTTTGGATGAAAGGTTTTATCAAATTCACTTTTGCGATGCGATATTATATTCTCAACTAGTGAATTTGTCTGCACTTCTCGCGGCTTAAACTTTATTTTTTATAAATTTACTAAATGCAGAAGAAATAAAAACTTAAATTTAAAAATAAATATATATAGTGGGACATTCACAAAATATAATTAAAAATCAAATATATAAGGCAAAAAAAAAAACATGTGAAAAGACATCACAAAAATAAATCCAAGTGAAAGCATCACATACTTTTTTGTAGAATTTAAATAATCAAGTTCTTGAGGTAAAGTCTTCTCTCGGGAAAGATAAGTCAACCGTTAATTTAAAGAGAAAACAAATGTGTTACATGAGTCCCCGATCCTTTCGGTCCTATATAAAGGTCTTTCATTATAATACATTACTATACTTACCCGCGCGATGCGTGGATAGGCTTAAAAACAAAGGTTCGCATAGAGAAATATTAAAAAGATATATATATATATATATATATATATATATATATATATATATTGCAAACTATATTTATTGACTGCATTAAAAACACATTAAACGAAAAAAACAATAGATGAATTCTATCGGGCTATGTCTATGTATTTGTTGTTAAGGACCACCAATCGCCAAGAGCTATTTTAACATACTTGAGGAAAGATACACCAATATTTGGCTTTAAAAGGATTAGTCCACATGATAATGCATAAGCTTTTGACTCAATTACAAACATAAAGGATATTACATTTGGTTCAAATCTTATTTCTTCTCCTGTGTCGATCAAGGTTAATATGGGTGCACCAAGTTTCACAAAATACTATTTTAAGTAGCTCCAACAGAGAAGACATAGTGGATTTAATTTTGATAACTTTCCATCCTTCAAAGTAGGTCCACACGCAACAAATAGAACCGGTGCAATAGCAAATATGATGGCTAAAAAATGGCTTGGAAAAACTATCCCTCGAGATATTGCACCTCTAGTCAATGGTTAAACGCAAAAATAAAAATACCAAAACTAAATACATAATGACACAGGTAATTACTTTCGCTGATATCAAAATAACTATATTTGATACACAGGTAATTACTTTTGTTGGGGCTAATATTGGGGCTTAAGTACGATTCAAGACCGGATAACAGTACTATTCTAAGAAATTTCCCAGTAGCTGTGAAGATACCTTAGATGTCTGGTGCTCTTCAAGACCTATAAACAATCAAATAAAACATCAAGATTTGTGTACATTATATAAGGAAAGAAGTCAGAATGAATAATAGTTTATTGTTCACTTTATTGTTCACCTTCTTTGTGTTCGCTGATGAAACGAAGCAACTTGATAGATAGATGAAGTATTTATCTTACTTAATTCATCTGTCAAATTTAGCTGAATCTTTTTACTAATGCGCTACTGTATATGAAACTTCGTTGCTTCGTGATATTAATGATGGAGTATCAACAAAGAGCAGTATAGAAAAATCAGTTGATCCGAGCAGCAGAGAAAGATCAGGTGGATGATGCAGCTGATAAGAATTTGCAGAATTTTTTGAGTTCATCCTTTGCAATATTGTAGTCGTTGGCAGCTCTGATATTGGGCTCTGAAGACCACCCAGAAAGTGTTGTGTTATAACTACCTGTATCTTTAGATTGCGGACTGCTTATTAATTATTAGGAAAGTTCCTTCTCCTCTTCTTTCGGATCATCAACTTGAAGAGGCGAATGTGATACTGTTGAAAGCTCAGAAACAGAGTGAATCTCATATGACTGTCCCTCTATATTGCTCTCATCACCTCCTTTTACCTTTCTTATCTGATATAATTGTAAAAGTATAAGGATTAACTGATGTTAGAAGCAATTACTTAATAAAAACCTTTCGTAATTAAAATCATATGCATAGTAGAAAACTATAATGTAAGGAGAAGCACACCTCATGCTAACCATTATCCCTCATTAAGAGAAAGCATCCATTAGATTAGATGCAATAGAGGAAAAACCATTTTGTTACGGGGGAATATGAGTCAAGGAACTTAGGACTCAATCTTTACTCTTGCAGAACTCAATATGGAAGTTGGGGCTTTGTGGAGGAACGTTACTGTTACAAAAATAAAGTCTTCTTAACCCATAGTTTGCAATCACAATTCCATATTTTTTGTGGTATCTGGAACATATGAGAGCACAAAGGAGTTCCTTTCAACTCAATACTTCTGTGGCAATTTGAAATGGTACAAAAGTGAGATTTTGGATCGGCCCATGGCCGGGCCATTCGCCTCCAAAGGATTAGGATCCAACTCTTTTAGACTATGAGGCCGTAGTTTCAGATAAAAGTTCAGAATAGGGTAGGAATATCATATTAAATGATTAGAAAATAGACAGTGTTTGCTCGCTTCTACAACAACTGCATAACTCCCCATCCTTATTCTCTACGGGATTCCAGAGCAAGCTATCATCTACATTTTTTTACAGCATTTGTTGCACCTAATCTTCAATATACTACTTTTAACAATTAAAAAGAAATAAAAGCACATGTAATGAATCGCGAAGTAGAGACATAGAGAATAACACCTTTTCTTCGCTCAATTCAATGCCGCAAAACGTAATATTCAGAAATTAAATATAGAAAATGGAGAAATGGACCTTTGAGAAATTGGGCTTGGGATTTCCTTGAAGGACCACCACCATTAAACAACATCACTGCACCTGGCAAGATAAGGTTTGTGAATGAAAAAGACGGCGCAAATTAAAATTAGGATTTTAATTATGTTTTAGAAAAAGAAGAGGAAAAATATCTAGCTATATTATAATGAGGATATGATATCATTAGTACACACAAAGTAGATATCCAATTACCTTTGAAAGCTCATATTGAACATCATCTCCAGTAATAATGCCAAATTTGAAGCAATGGCTTAAGCAGTCGAACAGTTGATTTGGAGCTGTAATTTGAATCTCAGATTCCAACAACATAGCATGTGCTACAAATTCAGCATACTGCTCCCCAGCTTGAAAAATAAAGTTATGATGCATCTCCCAGTTCCTTTTTGGCTTCAGCAATTGCAAATTGGTCTTGTTTATTATAAACCGAATTTAGAATCAGAATCGCGCTAAGACCTTTTCGCTAGAAAGAACAACACACCTGCGAGCAGACTGAAATTCAGAAGCTGAAATTTAACCTCCAGTGATAATCCCCACTTTCAAATCGCCATTACAAAACTAAAAAAAATGCAGAAAATAAGAAAACAAAAAATAATTGCATTTACTTAGTCGTTCCGAATAGAATGTTGTAAAATCCAGCTTAAAATCTGTTGCAATTAACATAACTGAATAGGAAAGGGAAAGATAGACGACTTACTGGAAAAAACTCACTATCTTCAATGACTGTCGTTGTGCTAGTTGATCCAAGAGAGATATGTGATGGTGATGGAATGAAGACACACTCTCAAGACCGATAAAAGCAAGTATGAAGCCACTGCTCGAAGCTGGACTCAAAAGTATGCCATGGGTTAGTTGCTGAAACACAAGTATTTGGTTTTTATCTATGATGTATTAAGAAATGGTTAAGCAAGTATGAAGCCACTGCTCGGGTTTGTAAGATTAAATGGTTTTGAAATTTTGTTGGATGGGTTATAAGTGGTAAGCATTTTAACCATTGGTATCTGCACAAGTCATCTCTCATATATGTGAAGCAGTTCAAAGCCTTAAAACTTGAATATATTTCTGGTTATTCTCCACACACACACACAAACACAAAACAAATGCACTTCTCCAACTGGAAGTAACATGATGGTCGTCTGGCCGCCAAGTTACTCCCTTCGTTCCAATGCATCTGCTATGAGAACCAACAATAAAGCTGATTAATTTGTAAAAAGTGGATGCTTATCACACCAACTATATTTCAAACCAAAAAATGAGTAGACCGATAGCATAATACTGAAACATCCATAAGTTTATTTAATCTAATTACATTCGATGAAATTTCACAATGTCCGGTTGATGAATTACCATATTAAAACCAAATTCGCATATGAAATTCACTACTTCTTCAAAAATGCAATGTAAGAAGTTCGTTAATCCATGGTATGGCAAATCATGACAGATCTGTATTTGCAATATTTTTTGAAATGTTAATTTATATATAGAATAGAGAAATAGAGAAAGATATAAAAAAGAACAGAAAAGTAAAGCGTACCTATTACATGTTTCAGATATCTTGTCAACAGCTATTGTCGCACTTGGTTAATGAATCTCAGCAACAAAAGTAGTACTTAAATCTCAAAAAAGATATTGATTATCTTTCGAGTGTCATACTAAATTTCGAAAAACTTCTTTAAATACAACATTTGCAGCTTCAGTAGTTATTTTCCATTGTCATCACAAACCAAATTTTTAATCCCTTTCTGCTCGTCACTCGAGAAAGAGCAACATATAGCTGTCCATGTATAAAAACTGGTTTCTTTAAAGATAATCCCACGTGAGACAATGACTGTCCTTGACTTTTGTTGATTGTCATGGCAAAAGATAAAATGATTGGAAATTGTCTTCGCTGGAACTTAAATGGAATTCTAGCATCATATGGAGTCAATGTCATTCTTGAAATAAACACTTTTTGTCCAGACATCTGTCCTGCTAAAACCTTGGCTTCAATAACTTGATTTCCAAGTTTAGTTATGATCAACCTTGTTCCATTACATAATCCTGCTGACTGATCAATATTTGTTAATAACATTACTGGAATACCAACCTTTAGAGTAAGAGCATGATTTGGAACTCCAGAACATTTAATTGTATTTAAGAATTCAGGAGTGTGTACATGTTCCAGTGCTGAATAAGTATTGTCAGAGTTGCAGATTGTATCGGAACTCAAATATGATTTCTCAGAACTTTGATTAAGGGAAATCATATATTCGTTGATTGATTCCACCATATCAAGAGTTGGAGTAAGAATAGCTCTTTGCTGGAGGTATCCTATTTCATTGCAACGACTGTTGAAATCTGGATACGTACTTTCTACAATTGCAGATGTTGGATCAACTGATTGTTTTATCAAAAGGTCATCTGGTATTTGGACTTTTTCATTGCCATCAACAGAAGTACCAACTATACCATCGCCAATTGCCAAAATCCAATCTGAAAAAACTCTCAACTCATCTAGATTTGTCCCTATTTCATTACCTTGCAATCTCATATTCTTTGTTAACTTTAAGAGTTGGCAGTGAGGCCACAAATAATAAGAATTGAGAGAAGCATTAACAATATCTTGCCTACTACCTTTTGGAATGACAGGTAATATTTGTCTGAAGTCACCACCAAGAACAATTGTTTTACCTCCAAATGGTCGGTGTAAATTGGATGCATCTTTAAACCTAAGAATATCTCTTAAAGTTTTATCAAGAGCTTCAAAACAATATCTATGCATCATAGGTGCCTCATTCCAAATAATCAACTTTGCCTTAATAATTAAATTTGCTAAAGGAGTACCTTGCTTGATATTACATGTTGAATCTTCAGTTACATTTAGAGGAATCACAAATCTTGAATGAGCTATTCGACCACCTGGTAACAATAAAGATGCAATCCCGCTAGATGCAACAGTTAACACAATATCTCCTCTAGATCTTATGGCAGAAGATAGAGTTCTCCAAATAAAAGTCTTGTCGGTTCCTTCAAAACCATATAAAAAGAAAAATCTACCTTTGTCTTCATTCACATCTCTTATTATTTTTTCATAAACTGACTTTTGCTCATCTGTCAAATTCTTTACTAATTGTTGATGTTCCTCTGCCAAAGCGCGTTTATTATAACGCAATTCATCCCATATTAATCTATTAGTGTTGTCAACTTCTTCCGTATTATAAACAGGCCTTGGCATTGTTGGAAAATCCAGAAAACTTCTTCCACAACCTTTCAAAAAAATTTCAAGCTTTTGCAAACAACAATTTTTCAATTCTTCATCTGTTAGGTCAACTTCTGAAATAACATTAAAATATAAATAATTAAATACAATTAAATGGTAAAGTTTAGTTTAGCCACATGAAATTAATAATAAGATTAATGAAAAAGTATAGTGTTCGATAGTAGTTTACATTAATTTCAAACACATTTAACGTACATAGAATTTGAAGGAATAATATAGTTCAAACCATGTGGTTCATTTTATTTTTAAAAATTACGTGAAGATACATTTTATTATTCGTAATGTATCAAAAAAATCAGTTTTTCTATAAAAAAATGAATTGAAATATTTTCAATTAAAGTAGAGAATGCATAAGAGCGATTATAGGCTTTCCCGAAATTTTAGGGCATTAAATACAATGTATTAGTTTTCTATTAGTATTTATGTCTAGAAAATACATTAATTAGTACCAATATTATTCCTATGATGTAAACACAACACTATATTAAAAAGACATGAACATAACAAAATATTGTTTAACAAACCTTAATTTGTGGAGTGAATTTTGTATGAAATTGAAAAACCAAAAAGAAGAAAGAAATGAACAATCAGATTAATATGAATGAAGTAATTAAAAAGAAAATTAACTAATAAAGTTAAGCAAATCAGCCATCCTTCATAAGTATCATATCATAACTCGAAATTTTAAGCATTAAATAAGTACCTGGGTG